GAATACGTTACAGAATACATTTTGGGGCATGTATTGTGTAATCTGTAATGGAATACATTTTAAAAGTAACCTTCCCAACACTGGTTATAAACTTGCGCGTCTCATAGAGTGAAACGTGAAGCTGTGAGCTCGCGAGACTCCCAGTGACAGAGATTTAAAACATTTACATTTAAACAAACAGCTCTCAGTAATCTAAAACAAACATACACCATTCAGCGCGGAGGAAAACAACTCCCATATTTCTTTTTACAGGTGTGTCATGGAGGAATCCGACAAACAACCGGATAACCTGACCAAGCGGTCCAACACAACAAGAAAAACCGACTCATCAAGGGATACCGAGGACCTACTCGTACCCGAGATGCAGGCAAGTGTGTAGAATCCAACAACAAAAAGCTGGATGTTCTAGCCATGCTTCACCAGGAGATCAAAGATTTACATTCAGTTTTCCCTGCGACCGGAGCACGCCGGGCAGGGAGCGCAGATCCAATTGACCCAGCTTCCATTCAACAACTAAATTTACCTTAGTGAAACAGTGAAAGATGAGTGTCGGTGCATTGCCAACGGTGAGTTTGTGGGTTACAACAGTAAGGGATTACTATTGCAAAAATGGTAATTAGATTACCGTTACTTTCCTGTAGGAACGCTGCGTTACTGCGTTACTAAAACCGTGATTTTTTGACGAGAATGTCTCATGACAATGACAAGCAAGTGCCACGTTTGTGACAACAGCTGTGTGCAGATCAACGATGGATAATATATTGAGTGCGGAGAGATTATGAGCGTGCAGCGTTTAAAGCGTGGAAGTACTGACCTTACTTTGAGTTTGATTCCATAAAAAGTGACAAAAACATTAGTGTCCTTTGTGCATGGGAAGAAAACTTCTTTTTACAGCAAAAAAAAACCCTAAACAAGCATCGAGTGCAACGATGTAATGGGAAATTCACAGAGAAATTCGTGGATTCTTCCATTGACCGCTGCTTTACAGGTGAAAATAGAGCAACAGGACTGCTAGTATTTGACTTTATTTATTTTCTGCTGTGTTTTACTTGCATCTATTTGAAAGACTGAGTGTAAACACAAAAAATATTTTATTTTATGTGCTGGAATGTGCAGAAAATAGGTTTAAATGTTAAACTAATTTCTTCAAGTCAGAGAATGGTGCATATAATTAAATTTTTACTTGATGCATAAAGTTAAAAGGTTAAAACTGAGAAAACAAGTTAAAAAAAGAGACTTTCCATTTATTACATTTTGTATGATGGATTATGCAGAAAAAGTAGAATTGGGCTGAAAGATCTATCACTTTATCACCGATTCAGGTTGTAAATCGTGTTTTTAAAAAGTAACTAAGTAATTAATTACTTTTGAAAATAAGTAATCAGGAAAGTAATGGGATTACTTTTTAGTAATTCGTTACTGATTACTTTTTTCAAGTAACTTGACCAACACTGTTTAGAACTCAAGTCTTCACAGCCCATCTCCATCACACAACACTTTCTCATATATTCATAAACTTTAGGCTACACAGACACACACCCAGATCCCATGCTGCACATACATACTTGCCAAAGTTCACTTTCTTTGTGTGGTGCCTTTCACAGTGCAACAATTCTGGAATATGTCACAAAATGAAAGGTAGACATTCTTCTCAGGAAACACATCTACAAAAATCAGAAGAAAGGTACAGGCTCTAATTTAATCTGTCCTTTTCAGCTTGTTATAACAGCTTTGTTGTAACAGCTTGTAACAAAGAGGTGTGTCTGTCTTGTTACATTTGCTCTAATAGACCCAGAAGGTCGATATATTATTATGTACTATTTCAAACAATATTTTTACAATCATCGCTCCTAATAATGATGAACCGTTTTTTTAAAATACAGTTTTCTATCAGAGATTGAAAATGTGACGTCATTTCTGGGGTAAAACCGCAAAGAATTGTAGGTACGAGTGGCAAGCGGTACTAGCGCATGCAGGCTTTCACATGAAAACAGTCACACAGCGATAAAAAGAAACACAAAAAATGGCAAGAAGCTGTTGTATAATTAACTGCAATAGCCGGTCGTATGACAGCCACGGGAAGCCGACGGGTAAAGAGATTGTTTTTTATCGGATTACGTCGTGGAAGAGAAATTGTTCAAGCCATGTTTCCGAAGTAACAAAGAGCCGACGGATGGCCTGGATTGCAGCAATTCGAAGACCAAATATAACGTTCCAGAACACTCCAGCTCACAGGTTAGTCTGCTCCAAGCATTTCCACAAACGTATGTCTTCTGTTGTAGTTATTACGTAATTTATCATCACATAATTGTTGATGTAGGTTACAAATAAGTCTTATATTGATTTGTTGCGCTATGCTGCTTTGTTCACTGTGGCTTTGCCGGCTAATGTTTGTTGTGTTTTGTAGGAAAACCAGCCTACAAAATGCTGGAATGCGATCTAGACTGGGCACCTCTATCAACCTGGGTCATACCGAGTTTAAAGCTGCTACCACAGCGGGATTTGATTGGTTAAGAGAGAGAGCTCAAAACAGACACGAAAAGTCCCGCATATATGTGCCCAAGTGTTGTATTGAAGCAATCAAGTGATGAATAACTGTTTTCCAGTATGTTGTTTTGCAACGTTGTTGTGTTTTTTGTTGTTGTTGCATTGTTGCACAATGGAATACAATTTTGCGCCTTTCCTGTAAGATTCTGTAATAGAATGAAACAATAATGCCAGTTATAAATAAAGACAGTAATTGTATGAATTACGAAACTAATTTTTTTCTATTAGATCCGAAAATGTTGTGTAATACTACAACCTGAAACGACAAATAGATTGCGTTTGCCTGTACAGGAGATAAAGAAAAAAAAAATCTAACAACAGCTGTGAAATGGAATAGTCCAAATCACCAAAGTAAACTGGGCGGGGCTTGTTGCAGGGATCTGAAGTTACTAAACATTTTGTGAGTGTATAAATAATAAATATGTGCGTGATGAAAGTTGGGCAGCACGCTAACGTCCTTACTCCACTCTGTATGCTCGTATGGGTCTGACCCTTTCACTCCTTTGATTTTTT